AAACTGAATGCTTCAATCATATCTCGATTTATCTGTATTTGTTCAGCTTTTTATTCATTATCATACGCCTAATTAGAGAACAGACATATTTTTCTTAATAATTTCTTCTATTTTCTTTTCCTTCCCATAGTGACATTTTTTCATTGATACTAAATGCTTTTTTTATTCATGTTTGAGAAACTGAATATAGCACAAGGCTGAAAATGACATGATTTTATTGAGTGTATAGTGTATTACAAGAATATTTGGTGAATGAATTCTCATATGTCTGTAATTTTAACAAATGTTAGAGAATTTTACATCTTTTCCATTTATTTAAATAGTTTTTCTCTTAAGTATTTATTAATTTCAGATTTTAGATTTCTTCTATCGATGAATTCTAGTTTTTTCATCCGTGTCTTATTATTCTTATGCGTCTGTTCCTCCTTAACATTGATCGTTAATGGACTGACCAGTATACCTTCTACCAACAATAATAATAAAAAAGATTTTTCTTTTCTTCATAAATATTTTGGAAGACCAATTCAATCGGACTCAAATCTATTAAAGGAATCTTCATCAACATTATCCTCATCTAATATTAAACGACGTAATGTGATTATGCCACGTATTTGTTATTTTGCTCGAATATCTGGAACGACTGTCTACCAGAGATTATGTTTGCCCTACGACAATAATTAATGATCGTAATTATTCAATAAGCAAACAAATACTTGACTCAAATATTTTCATTATTCGAATAAATGTTACTTAATTTTGTTGATGTTTCTGTAATAATTAATATCATATGAAGAATTTTTAATATAAAATATCAATAACATTATTCGAATAATTTGATATATCTTTTCTTGTATTTTGACAAAAACAATTATATTTCCAGCATGTCATCAAAAATCAACATTCATAAAGTCATTCATCTTTTTTCTTTTGCTGAAGTTCTTGACGTAAAAATCTTTAGATAGAAATCTTTACAATTTCATTTTCTTTTTCTCTAAGTTTTCTTTTTAATTAGTCATCAATTATTAATGCATACATCATTATTAATCAACATGATTGAATCAAATAAGACAAATGTGTATTTTTCTTTCATATGATAACTATTGTTAAATATTCGTTCAAATAGATTCTTGAGAACATAACTTATTTTTGCTCAGACAAAGAATTGATGAGAGATACTCTTTTCGAATATCGAAATTCAAACTTCTAATTTTTCATAATATAATACTAATGTTTGATACATAGAAATTGTGTAGCTGTTAGAAAATCATTACATATGAACATTTAATATAAACAGTGCAGAGAATTTTTATTTTCTACTAAGAGTTTTATCTGACAGCTAAATTTTCATACATCATCAATTTCTTAAATTAAAAGTTTCTAAAGATTTTCTTAGTTAGAATGTCATCAAAAGTAATAAGATAATTTCTATTTAAGCAAGATGTATGTCAATTTTCTGCAACAATCGATAAAATCTTTTATTTAATTGAGCAAGTTGAACAAAAGATTAAGTTACTTATAGGAAAGCATGAATGTTCTTTTTTTTTGTTTCTACAAGAAGAAAGTTTAATTAACTTCAAGCAATTTTCTAAATGAAAACATTAAATATTTGCAGATAAGAAAATCGCTTAGGTCTTTTACGCAAATAGTGAGTTTTGGTTTTCTAACACTTTCAATATAAATTATTTTCTACTACTGTGTGTACTCCTTATGGATCATCAGCTTATTGATGCAAAACATTTAGATATTCAATATATCGAATTGAAAATGAACACTCTTATGTACAGATAACTTCTACTATCACATGATGTTGTTTTTTTTTTTTTGTTCGAGAAAAACACAATAACCAAAGAAGGCAAAGTATAACTACATATCTAAAGATAAACAAATATTGATCATTGTGAATATTGTTTGATCTGTTTGAATTTTTATTTAGCAAATAATAAAGAAAAGTGTTTGTATAAGAATTTTGATGCATAATAAATTCAAATATTTTACATGTCTTGTCTGTATATAGGTTATTTTAAGACCAATTTATGAATTATTCCTACTTGATATTGGCAACATGTAATAAAGGTATTAAATTTAATGTAGAAAAAGTTTATTATTCATTATTATATTTATTTATATAAAAATGAGTTCTATTGAAAAATTGTATATGAAAGATTTACATGATCTTATTGTTTCATTTATATAAACAGGTTCCATCTTAATGTACCGATAAAATATTTATTTGAAATGACATTCTAACAGCTTGTCTTCGACTGAACTGGCTCGGAAAAATAATTCTAACAATAAGAAGTAGACTTCTGACGCATACTTTTAGTTAATTTGATATGGTACGGTGAAATGTATGACGATCAAGTATATTAACGAAGGAATTTTTTGTTCCCATATATATATATAATTATGTTGATGATAATTGAAGGATAGTTAAAACGAATAGCAGTAAATATCTCGATTCAAATTTACAACCAAGAAACTAAAACTAAATCATGTAAAATATATTTACTAAAAATACAAGTGAAATATTAGAACTATAATTGATAAAATAAACATCTACGAACGCAACATGATAAGATGGTAGAAATAAGTTTAACAAGAGTGTATTTTTGATTTTTTTTTCTATAATGTTACATAATTAGCTCGGATCCAAATAATGATTTTTGATAGCTGTTAGATCTCAGAACACTTGGCTAAAATTATTTTATAACAATACCACGTTAGAGAGGACAAGATGATGAACAAAATTTGGGTAATAGAAAAAAAAGTTGTTGTTAAATTTTCTTTTTCCACCATTTAATATCAAGTTTTAATCCAAGTGATAATTGACGTTAATTTAATCATATTAACAGTCTCTAGGTTCTTCTGTTAAATACACTGATATCGGACACAATTTACTTTTATTCGCATCAACCTGCCAAGTTTTCATTGAATTGACTTCCTTACTTTTTGACTTTGTCTTCACTGAATTTTATCGAAATTATGTTCTTTTTTGTACAAATTTTGTCTTCGAGAACTAGTAGAACATCCACATTTATTATCTATTTTAGTTTATGGATTGTTTCTTTTTCTATGTAATCATTGTCTTGAAAACTGTATTTTCTTGGAAGCTAATTTTTTTTAATTATGTTTATTGCTAGTATATTTGATTAAATATTTCTTCAATGTTGAATGTGCCATTTCTACAACATTACAATTCAAATTCGTCATAAAGAAAGAATTTCTTAACTAACATAAATTCATTCCTTAGTAGTGATTTAAAAAAAAATTCATTTATATTAACAAACAGAAGAAATTTATGCATTTACATGTTAGGAAAACATTATATTCTGCTAATTATAGTTCAGTGATCCGAAAAAAAAGTGCCTGAAATCCGAACTGCGGTTTCGGTTTGGTTATCGGTTCTAGTTTTTTGGAACTGCTGAACTCTACTGTTAATGCTTTATAATTTTCGATACCCGTAAAAATTATTGCAATTGAAACACCTACGATTTATCCATTGTTGAAGAATTCAATGCAGCATTAATAATAAACTACCATAGTTAAATGCAATTATGAATTATTATTACTATTCTATTTTGTTAAGTCTTTCTACATCAATACCCTTCATATGAAAAATAATATCGTACAATGTAGTATGAGTGCAACTACACTTCTACAGCTTGAAAAAGAACATGTAAAAAAATGTAAATTAGGTCATTCGAAAGTTGCTCTTAAAAGTACGTCTTGATCACAGAACAACAATACAATTATTCGAATCGATATAATAACGACAGGCATAGCCATTAAATAGTTGGCAACCTTTTTTCCAATAGATGCTGAAGTATTGAAACCAGATTGAAAATTTCGTCAACGTCGTTCTATTATACATGACGTTGGTCTTAATACTTCAACTCATGATATTCCAGGTATTACACGTAGTCAAAGTATACAAAATCGATTCTTCTGGACAATTTCAACACTAATTTTTACTGCTGTTATGCTCTTTTTTTATTGTTGAATCGATAAAAAACTATTTCAGTTATAACAACACCAACATCAGTATTTTTTATTGTCGAACGTTCACAAGCATTTCCAGCAATCAGTATTTGCAATTATTTACCAATTCGTTTTGAGAATTTTATTGAACCATTTCTAAATTTTACTAATTCTTAAAATTTGACTAATACAAATGATACAAGCACTATTTCTTTTGAACAAAGTAACTACAATCTTGATTTTTTTCAAAATTTATTAAATCACGGGGAACCCATGGATAATTATCTTCTTTCTATGAGTATAATGTTAATCGCTTTTTGTCTATAATGGTCAACGTTGTCAAGCTACGGATTTTATTCCATTTTTGTCATACTCTTTTGGTCGTTGCTACACATTCAATGCTAAAATGAAGTCAAATGAAAGTAGTGTTCGAAGTACTATTGATTTTGGAGGTATTGGTAGATTTGAATTACAACTTTATGCACATAGTCATCGATACGTTCCATATATTGCATATGGTAGAGCGAAGAATATGATTTTACACATATATTTTTTTTTTGTTTCTTTCACAGATGTATCAGTTGGTATGGTGGCTATCATTCATGATAATGCAAAATTAGAATTCATTGATGTAGCTAGTATCCAATTAGATACTGGACAAAAATATAAGTTAAGCTATAAAAAGAAAACATCAATTATTACCATCTCCATATTCTGACTGTACAAATAAAATTCCTCTTGTTATGCAAGCAATGTTTAAGCGATATGCAGGAGCTGATTATACTTATTCTCAAGTTTTATGCTATATATTATGCATACAAACATATGTGTAGGTATAGTTAATTAGTCAAAATAGAAATATATATTTTTATTAAAATAGATATGATCAATGTGGATGTGTGAGTCCATATCAGTGAACTACTCAATCTTTTGTTTTACCTGGTACAGATCGAATTATTGAAGCACATCTTTGTAACATAAGCGATCCATGTTATACGGTTGTAACAGTTCGTATTACCATTATGGACTCAATCTGGAATCAGTTTTGTTCAGATTGTACACAAGAATGTTTAACTGTAGATTTTTCTGTTACGCCATCTGCTGTATCAGCTCAATCCGCTGTGAATCTACACGATATTAAAGATTTTCTTGAACAATCTGGTGTCACATTATCTAAAAACTGGTCACCAGCATGGACATCGGAAATTCAAAAGAATTATGTTGGCGTCAGTGTTGTTTGTGAAACAACTTGTGTAGAAATTTTTACACAAGATGCATCAATCAATGGTGTTGATCTTCTTTCAAATGTTGGTGGTCATACAGGTTTATGGATTGGTATCAGTTTTTTATCAATAATGGACGTAGTTGAAATGCTCTATCGTCTTATTCGATATCATTATTATAATGTAGGCGGAACAATGCAAGGACGAAATCAAGATCAATCATAACTGTATGAATTATTATTTTTTTTTAAATATTTTTATTAAGAGAAAGATTTGCTGTTCTCAAGTGAAATTGACTTGAATAAACTTTCAATTTATATGATTTGCATGACATCAAATTAGTCAACGAGAGAACATTTTTCTTATGATCATTTCACTCAATTGTGTTCATCAAGTAGAAAAGAAAATAAATAGACTTGTATTACTGCAATTGCCACTCAATGATTTTTTACCGAGTAATTAATCAAAAAGAAAACTATGTCGACGTTTAAAAAGGTTATATTAAGCACTAGTTCATCTATTTTTCTTTTAATAATCAGACTTCTGTGTTATATGACAAATACTTTAAGCTTTTCTAAAAATGAACAAGTTATCGATTGGAAAGAATATATTGAACACTTTTTCTTGTCTTCAATAGGTTTCCAGAAACAAATATACTGGTCGATACTGTTACAATCATTGGATAGAAGTCTGAATATACTACAATTGAAAAATAAATGTCTATTCAAATATAGATAAAATATGAAACAAGAGACTGGTAATTCTTCATAATCAAAATAATTTAAAAAAGAATCAGACCTGCTTCAAAAGTTTACTAATAGTAAATAATTATTAGAGAACAATTACGATTACATTTCAACAAACTATTTTACATTATTGAGTCGTTTTCTATTTTCAATTGAGCAGGATGGTGTGGGTATAGAAGTAAATGTCGATGTTAGGTTGAAAAGAACGTCTACAGTCTAGTTGAAATGCTTTATTGTCTTATTCGAAATCATTATTATATTCTACAAAGAAATGAGTGGAAAAAGTACGAAAAATTTAACTCAAGGTTAAATCTGAACTTTCCAATAGAAGAGGCTAGCTGACTAAACTCTAGTTATACAGTATAAAATAAGATCAAATGTATAATTTGTAACAAGTTCGATTCTTTACGCCAAATGTTTGCTAATATAAGCACACGGTTATTTTTCTATCCTTACGGTGGATGTGGATGTCCTACCATTGATAAATTAATTTTAAGTTGAGACTATGTGCGTTATGTAGATCCAAACAAGCGATGAATACCCTGAAAACACTTCGTACCCTTAGCGCTAATGGCTGTGGAGATACTGCAATTTTACTGTATTTTTTAAATGAATGCCGTCGTTCCCTCCATAACATCAGAAATGGTGATTTTCGAATTTTGACTTGAAACTTTGCACAGAAATAGGTCTTAGCGAGATTAGCTTTTTATAAATATTTTAGATCATGACGTTGTTCCTATCCTAGGATAGAACTACAACAGATAATCACTTGTCTTTTCAATCGCTCATATGAATCAGTACATTTTATGGTCTGATTCCAGGATAGAAAGTAAATCAAAAGACCTGAAACTATCCTTGTTAAGACCTTTCTCTATGCCAAGTTTCAAGTCGAAATTACAAAATCACTTTTCTGGACCATGGTACTTTCATTTTAAAAAAGTAGTATCGTGAATGTGAGGTATCTTCGTAGCCATAAGCTAAAGGCACGAACTCTTTTCAAGGCATTCGTTATTTATCTGGGCCTACATCGTGCACATAATCCCGATTGAAAAACAATTTATTAGTTAGAGGACTTTTTCGTGTTAGATATTCTTTGATTGTCATGCTCTTTTGATATGATGTTATATTTATAAACAGCCGATGAGCATCCCAGATTATTTTTTATATATGAATAACTTCAAGCAATATTTCTTTAAGTTCCACATCAGAAATGGATGTTCCACAATTTTGGACCATTTGATGAAATGTTACGAATTCATTCGAATGAGCAAAGAATACTTTGATAAATCTTTACAATATATTGCGCTGCTATTAATATGGATTCAATAACCTCATTTTTCCCACGGAAAAAAAAGAAAAAAATTTTCAAGTACAACAAAAAAAATAAGAATAAATACGATAATCTGTCACTGCTTCATAGTTTATCTTTTACATTAATTGAATTTGTATTGGTATGAATTTCTGGTGTATATGTAAAAAGTACAATAAATGTCCATAAATGAAGAATTATGATATAAAAAAGTACACCAAGACGAACAGCTGGATAACGTCTTAAAAATATTGTGAAACGAATTCCAAGTTTATCAAGTTCATTAGCTGCTCGTTTAACTTTTTTTGTTAGATCGACATCATATGGTGTTTCACGTAATAATGGCATACGATAACGAAGATTTTCATAATGTTCAGGATCATCAATTGATATTGATGTTGTTGGTACAGTTTTTGATGATTGTTGTAAAGAATTTTTTGATGTTATAATTTCATAATCATCTAAACGTTTTTCTAAACGTTCTAATTGCATTGTTAATGAACTTTTATCTGTTTGTAATGTTTCAATTATAGTTTGTTTATGTATTAAAGATTCAGTTAATGTTTGTAAACGTTTTTCTAATTCATCATCATTAACATGATTTATTGTTTTAGCAGTTAATTGTAAACGAAGACGTTCAATTTCACGTTCACGTTCATTTAATTGTCCTTGATAAATTTGTTTTTGTTTATGAAAATCATCATTCATTGAACTTAATTCTTGTTTTAATTTACGATAATCTTGTTCAGCTAATATTAAACGTGAACGTTCTTCTTTTAATTGCTCATTTAATTGATTTATTTGTTCTTGATATTGTTCATCAGAATGTTGAATTGTTAATTCAGCTTCTTGAAGTTCATTACGTAATGTATGAATTGTTAATTCACGTGCTTGCAATTCTTGTTTAAATAGTTCATTTTCATCTTTTAATTCTTCATATTGTATAGAAGCCCAATGATTAGATATTGGTGATGATACTGATGAATTTCCAACGAGACTACCATCGAGAACACTAGCATCATCACTAGTACCAATTGTTTCAATTTCTAGAAAAATATAACAATAGTTACAAAAAAAAGATAAAAACTTTTCAAAGCTATCATCACTGAAGTATAGTCATAAGTGACAAAACGTTTTGATTCTAGGGTACGTTCAACAGTCTTTATAAGATTCTCATCTAGAAGTTAAAAATAAGAGAAGATAAGTTTTTGAATGTCACTTAAATGAAATACAATTATTGTCACTTTTGTCGAACGCAAATGTACAATGTGTAACAGTGGTACAGATTAGAAAAAAATTCACTGTTTTTATTGATAAGTCTGTTTGATTAAGAAAATATTATTATTAGCTGTCGGAGGTGATGAAAAATATTACGATTTGTATAAAAACGTGATGCGTTACTGAAATCTATCAATTTGATGAGACGAGAAAAGTGTTTGAGCCTACCGAAGCTTCATAGCTCTGTAGCCTATGAGTAAATTTACAGGTAGTAGCATGAAATGATATGCATAACACTTCATCATTTGTATTTTTATAATGATAAAATAGCAACTTCCAATATAGGTCTTCTTCAAAGCACCCAACATGCTTCATATGTAATTTCGAAAATTGAAAACGAGTTAATGAAAAACAAAATAATTGACTTTTCTGAAATCTCACTAATAGTTCGATTTTCAATTTTCAATCCTCATCATACACATTAGGAAGCAGAAAAGAAAAGAAGATTAATCTTATCTACGATAGCTTGGGTTACATTGACCTTTAAAAGCGATGACTACAGAAAGAAAATCGAACTTTCTTGCCAGATATTAATATAAATATACATATTACTGTTGATTTAATTTTGATGATAAAAAAAAGATTCATCTTCATTTTTTCCAATATGTTGGAAATTTTAGAAGATACACTTTATTTAATCAAATTGTATGTTTTCAAAATCATCGCTGTCGTGTTTATATTGCTAAAAAGAAGTCTCTTTAACACAAAGAAATATCGTTAACGATTTGAACTCATATCTACGTGAGATGATGAGTTCCTATTTTCAGAAAGTTCAAATGAATTGGCTATGAGGTAAAATTTCATAGAAATTTAATTCAATGCTTTGAAGAATAAGAGCAGAAAATCGGTTTTAGTATAAAAAAAACAAATTGATATAAGTATGTGAAAGTTCGTATGCGTGAGGATCTTGTCTTCACCCACATACACTTCACTTGCACACCCTATTTACTTTTCATTATAAAATGAATTTTCTGATTCAACTTAACGGTAGAAATATTCACTTCATTTCTGTATACTTTGCATAAAAAATATGTCTCTCAGACCCAACCAACGCCAAGCTTATAGTTGTGTCTTTTCAATTGAATGTGTTAAGATTAATTTCAGCTACATATCATAAACATTTAATGTAGATCCTTTGTGTCTCTTTTTAGTTTTTAGAAGTGACGGAGACAAAGAAAGTGACTGGCAAAAGCTACTTTCTCACATTTCGCAGATGTGACGTAAAAAGTTGGAGGAGGGGAGGAATTGCTCTTTCCACATCTTTGTAGCAGTGTTCTTTAGCTTGTACCATTGATTAGATAATGTGTAGAAATTTAAATTTTGTTGAAATTGGAATTTACTATGAACTCCATACTTATTTTAGGATACAATGTATCGTGTGTATTTAGTAAACGCGATAAGACCGAACGATCTTGGTACTTTACTACTTAATGTTAACGATGACCCTACTCTAATGCAGTTCATCGACAATATATGTTGTGTCTCAGTTACAACTATGACAAACTATGGAACTTAAGCATGACGTATACAAATCTCAATGACAACTGAGCTAATCGGCAGAGAAATGAGAGTTAAAGATCTTGATCGAGGGATAGATAACACCCTTTGTGTAGCTATGATAAATTAAATAGATTGACGATGTTTGGAAAGAATGAGTTCGAACATGAAACTTAATCTGTTCAAAGATATCATATTCCTAAGATAATTAAATCAATGCAGATAGCGAACATTGAAAATTTTCTTCAATTAAAACTAATTTCTTTGCTTTCTCTAAAATAAAAAGTAACCATAGTGAACCGTTTAAAGTTTTAATCGAAAAGTCTTAAACTTAGGAAAGGTTCAGTATGGCTCCGTTTTTTTTTTTTTGTTCGAGACTAATAAGAATCATTCCT